CAGTTCTAGTTCAGTTCTAGTTCAGTTCTAGTTCAGTTCTAGTTCTTCTAGTTCAGTTCTAGTTCAGTTCTAGTTCAGTTCTAGTTCAGTTCTAGTTCAGTTCTAGTTCAGTTCTAGTTCAGTTCTAGTTCAGTTCTAGTTCAGTTCTACTTTAGTTCTATTTCAGTTCTGGTTCAGTTATATTAAAATAATGATTTAATATCTTTAGAAACAACGCACTCTTTCAAAGCCCTATCTATTAATTCAATCACCGACAAACAAACAGGGTTGCTAAACTTATTGATGACGTCTGCAAAAATGCAAACAACCATAGATGGCGCCAAATAAAAATGTTTATAAACAAAACACGTTTACATGCCAAGCTAACAAACAGCTCTTAAGTTAACAAAGCCGTTGATAACTTTGATTTAAAAGATCAATTAAAGTCAAGACAATATAGAGTGAGAGAGAGAGAGAGAGGCGTAGAAGGAGAAGTAATAATTGATTAACGTTATCGTTATTATTACAACAGTATATTGTTAATAAAATTTTAAATTAAAATGATTTATTTAAGGTGCGGCAATTTATTTTTTATGTCTTTTCAAAAACTAAGCGCCATTTAATTACACGCCTAAGCCTTCAAAAGACTTATAGATCAAAGTGGTATAATGGTAATATTTATTATTGTTGTTATTGCTATTGGTCTTTTATTATTTAATTTTGTGCTATTGCGGCTAAAAGGCGGCAACATAAAATAGAAAAACTTGATTTACTAAACACAAACACATACATAACTCTTTAGCACTTTGGCTTTACCACCAACCACCCCCTCTCTTTTCACTCTCATCTTGGGCTTGCTTTACTTTAACTGTCTAGAGTTCTCTATCTGGCAATGTCTGCTGTCATTTTGTCATGTATTGGAATGTTGTAAATGACAAGGAAACTTGTTTATATCTTTTCAAAATGGTAATTAAAATGTCACAACAAAAGGTAGGGGAGAAAATTGAGTGATCGAGTGTGCTGTAAAAGCTCGCATAACAGAGTGTGAGAGGAAGTAGTGTTTATACATAGTGATCGTGGTGGGGGTGTGTGTTCAAGTAGTAATTTGTTATTAATCGATGATTATAGAATGTTGTCAAGTATTGTGGTTTTACAATGTTTATAGTCATTAAACATGTTAATGAAAATTACAACAAATTATAAAACAAACAATATCAAATATTTTACCGCCAATTTTGTATTTAATTTGTGTATACTTAGTTTTAAATATGCTTTCAATTTGAATATTTGTTTTTTTTGCGGTCTTTTCTACTTTTCATTCATAATAACGTTCTTACGTTAAAGTGAATGAATAATATTATAGGGCTTGTATATATTATTTATTTATTTGTTTAATAGTGTTTTCTGAAAATGTACACAGTAATTTCCTTTTGTTGTTATGATTCTTAAAATTGTTGGTGTTTTTTAAAATTTTTTTTAACAAACAATTGCCGCTTTTTGTGTATTTATTTAACAATTTGTCACTTTGTATTATTTTGTTTATATATTTTTTGTAGTTGTCATTATTTTTAGATAAACAATAAATTTGTTTGTAAATAACAACAAACTTCAAATTTTGGTTGTGCAAAATCCCTTTAGGCGGTTAATTGTACTCATCTTTTATTTCGTCTGCGTCATCATCATTATTATTATCATGATCATCATAAACGAAAACAACAATAATCTTCCAAAACATCATTCTCATATTCTTCATATTAATGGCAATGTTGTCGTTTTATTTATTTTAATCATCAACATCATCATGATCACCATTTTTGTTGTTGCTTTTGTCGACGACGTCGTCGTCATCATCACAATCAACATCATCATCATCGTCAACATTGGGTTCGGTAAAATGTCTTTGATCTTATCGCAAAGCTTCTTGCTCGCATTTTGATCAAAGCAAGTTTTTCCGCCAAAGTGGTGGTAGAGTAACAGAAAAGACCATAATAACAACAACAAAAAATAACAACAACAAGTACTCGCACTACTACAATAACAATAATAATAATAACAACACCAAAACGAAGTTTTAACCACATGACGTTGTAATAAATGTTTACCAAAGATACGACTAGTGTACAACAACAAAAGAAGAAAGACAATAACAAATTTATAACAAAAACAATAAATTAGTGATCATTATAAACTTGTTATTAGAGAAATATATAGTAAAAAGGAGAGAGATATGTAGAGCAATATCTGCAAGTTAAGTGTTTTATAAGAGTTAAGAGAGAATTTAAGAGTTTCCTGTTCAGTTCTAGTTCAGTTCTAGTTCAGATCTAGTTCAGTTCTATTTCAGTTCTAGTTCAGCTCTAATTCAGTCCTAGTTCGGTTCTAGTTCAGTTCTAGCTCGGTTCTAGTATAGTTCTAGTTCAGTTCTAGTTCAGTTCTAGTTCAGTTCTAGTTCAGTTCTGGTTCAGTTCTAGTTCAGTTCTAGTTCAGTTCTAGTTCAGTTCTAGTTCAGTTCTAGTTCAGTTCTAGTTCAGTTCTAGTTCAGTTCTAGTTCAGTTCTAGTTCAGTTCTAGTTCAGTTCTAGTTCAGTTCTAGTTCAGTTCTAGTTCAGTTCTAGTTCAGTTCTAGTTCAGTTCTAGTTCAGTTCTAGTTCAGTTCTAGTTCAGTTCTAGTTCAGTTCTAGTTCAGTTCTAGTTCAGTTCTAGTTCAGTTCTAGTTCAGTTCTAGTTCAGTTCTAGTTCAGTTCTAGTTCAGTTCTAGTTCAGTTCTAGTTCAGTTCTAGTTCAGTTCTAGTTCAGTTCTAGTCAGTTCTAGTTCAGTTCTAGTTCAGTTCTAGTTCAGTTCTAGTTCAGTTCTAGTTCAGTTCTAGTTCAGTTCTAGTTCAGTTCTAGTTCAGTTCTAGTTCAGTTCTAGTTCGTTCTAGTTCAGTTCTAGTTCAGTTCTAGTTCAGTTCTAGTTCAGTTTCGTTCTAGTTCAGTTCTAGTTCAGTTCTAGTTCAGTTCTAGTTCAGTTCTAGTTCAGTTCTAGTTCAGTTCTAGTTCAGTTCTAGTTCAGTTCTAGTTCAATTCTAGTTCAGTTCTAGTTCAGTTCTAGTTCAGTTCTAGTTCAGTTCTAGTTCAGTTCTAGTTCAGTTCTAGTTCAGTTCTAGATCAGTTCTAGTTTAGTTCTAGTTCAGTTCTAGTTCAGTTCTAGTTCAGTTCTAGTTCAGTTCTAGTTCAGTTCTAGTTCAGTTCTAGTTCAGTTCTAGTTCAGTTCTAGTTCAGTTCTAGTTCAGTTCTAGTTCAGTTCTAGTTCAGTTCTAGTTCAGTTCTAGTTCAGTTCTAGTTCAGTTCTAGTTCAGTTCTAGTTCAGTTCTAGTTCAGTTCTAGTTCAGTTCTAGTTCAGTTCTAGTTCAGTTCTAGTTCAGTTCTAGTTCAGTTCTAGTTCAGTTCTAGTTCAGTTCTAGTTCAGTTCTAGTTCAGTTCTAGTTCAGTTCTAGTTCAGTTCTAGTTCAGTTCTAGTTCAGTTCTAGTTCAGTTCTAGTTCAGTTCTAGTTCAGTTCTAGTTCAGTTCTAGTTCAGTTCTAGTTCAGTTCTAGTTCAGTTCTAGTTCAGTTCTAGTTCAGTTCTAGTTCAGTTCTAGTTCAGTTCTAGTTCAGTTCTAGTTCAGTTCTAGTTCAGTTCTAGTTCAGTTCTAGTTCAGTTCTAGTTCAGTTCTAGTTCAGTTCTAGTTCAGTTCTAGTTCAGTTCTAGTTCAGTTCTAGTTCAGTTCTAGTTCAGTTCTAGTTCAGTTCTAGTTCAGTTCTAGTTCAGTTCTAGTTCAGTTCTAGTTCAGTTCTAGTTCAGTTCTAGTTCAGTTCTAGTTCAGTTCTAGTTCAGTTCTAGTTCAGTTCTAGTTCAGTTCTAGTTCAGTTCTAGTTCAGTTCTAGTTCAGTTCTAGTTCAGTTCTAGTTCAGTTCTAGTTCAGTTCTAGTTCAGTTCTAGTTCAGTTCTAGTTCAGTTAGTCAGTTCTAGTTCAGTTCTAGTCAGTTCTAGTTAAGTTCTAGTTCAGTTTTAGTTCAGTTCTAGTTGAGTTCTAGTTGAGTTCTAGTTGAGTTCGAGTTCAGTTCTAGTTAAGTTCTAGTTCAGTTCTAGTTCAGTTCTAGTTCAGTTCTAGTTCAGTTCTAGTTCAGTTCTAGTCCAGTTCTAGTTCAGTTCTAGTTCAGTTCTAGTTCAGTTCTAGTTCAGTTCTAGTTCAGTTCTAGTTCAGTTCTAGTTCAGTTCTAGTTCAGTTCTAGTTCAGTTCAATTTATGAAATTTTCTCCTTTGAATGGTTGTTGTATTGACTAGTGGATTTACAGTGTTTTTTGGATTGTGTTTATTGTTATGGTGAATTATTTTACTACACTCTCTTTCATTTGGTGAACTCCAAAAATACACCACATTTTTATGGTGGATTTACAAAACTGAACTGCATTATCCACATATTGAATCCAGCCTTATCGATAGAAAATGTGTTGTTGACTTTGATAAATGTAAAGTTGCACAGGGTACGTCGACACATTTTGTATGGGCTTAATTTTACACTGACTGAGATGTCTTAGCTTTATCAATAATGATATTTGCAATAAAACATAGATGGCGCAAGGTAACATAATATTGTTTAAAACGTTGACATAAATGACGTCTATATAGACGTTATTTTCCTCAATATTGATTTCACTATAAATCGGAGTATAACAAATATGTTTAAAATCCTTCAAAGAGATTTTAACCATAAAATAATATAGTTTTATTATACCAACAACGTTTTTAATTAAATTTTATATTCGGGCTGTACTCGTGAAATTTGAATTACTCAAAAATAATACCTGTGTTTGTGAGTCGTGCGCAACCAAGTCTGTTAGGCCGCAGCAGTTTTTGAAACTCGCTGAATTTGCAAAGCAATTTGAAATTATTTGAGTATCGTATTTGTGTATCCCCAAAACTCTCCCACAAAAATTTGTTCCCAAATAAAACATGAAATCCCCACAATGTCCCTGACTAACCTTTTTATTTCTTTTATTGCAGACACAAACATTTAACACCTCATTCCAAACACAACAAGCCTTAAACCAAATGGGTAGCACAAGTTCATCATATTCCACCATTTGCAGTAGCAACACAGAGGTAACAACAACTGCAACCACCAACACCACCACCAGATCGCTGCCATGTACGTGTAGCGGTAAAAACACAATCAAAGCGACAACGCTATACAACCACAAAACATCTTCAATATCCACCACACTACTGCTGGCCATCATACTGCCACTAATATACACCAAAAATATATTGATGGTTACAGCAGCACCCTCCCACCAAAGTAATACACCCACATTACCGGAAGCAGCATCGCTGGTCACGAAGGCGGTCAGCTCTAATTCATTAAATTCCACCGTTTTAGGGGCAATGGAACTGCAAAATATTAAAATCAATTCTGTACAGCAGACGCCACAACCAGTTGGTGTAGTGTCCACACCACATCCGGAGCATAGTAGAGCTTTAAAGAAGGCCTGGCTATCGAATCGTACTATAGTTTGTAATGATGGTACAGCGGCGGGTTTTTATTTGCGTAAAAATCCTAATTCCAAAAAATGGATTGTCTTTCTGGAAGGTGGCTGGCATTGTTATGATAAGAAGACATGTCGGGCTCGATGGAATAGACTGAGACATCTGATGACTTCCACCGATTGGCCAGAAACTCGAGATGGTAAGTTGTTTATACGATAAATATTAAAGAGCAATAATTCATATAATTTTTTTTTTTTTAATTCTAGTTGGTGGTATTTTATCCGCTTCTCCCGAAGAAAATCCCTACTGGCATAGTGCCAATCATGTATTAGTACCCTACTGCAGTAGTGATTCCTGGTCTGGCACTAAGGATACTTTTGAATCTACAGATTTTAACTTTCGTTTTATGGGTGCTTTGATTTTAAAACAAGTTATAGCCGATCTTATACCCATGGGCCTGGGACGAGTACCAGGAGCCGAACTTTTACTAGTGGGATCTTCGGCAGGCGGTTTGGGTGTTATGTTAAACTTGGATCGCATAACCAACTATTTACAGCAGGAACGTAATCTGCAAGTTACCGTTAGAGGAGTCAGTGATTCCGGTTGGTTTTTGGATAGAGAACCCTATACGCCCTCAGCTGTGGCCTCTAGTGATGCTGTAAGACAGGGCTGGTCTCTGTGGAAGGGACTACTGCCAGAAACCTGTGTAGAGCAACATAAATCAGAACCCTGGCGTTGTTATTTTGGCTATAGACTTTATCCCACTTTGAAAGGTAATATTTTGAAGAATTTTGATCATTAAGAGAAATTTTATTTAATTTGTATCTTTAATTTTAGCTCCCTTGTTTGTTTTCCAATGGCTGTTCGATGAAGCTCAAATGAGAGCCGATAATGTAGCTGCCCCCGTAACTCCTCACCAATGGAATTATATACACGCCATGGGAGGAGCTTTACGTTCTTCTTTGGACAATGTTACCGCAGTTTTCGCTCCCTCCTGCATAGGACATGCAGTACTCTCAAAACGGGATTGGACCACTTTAAAAATCGATGATATTTCTCTGCCCACCGCTTTAAGATGCTGGGAACATTCGACAAGACCACGCAAAAAGCGTCATGATAAATTGAAAAGATCCACTGAAGCCACCATCACCCACAAGGACAATAACAAGAGAAGACATGAGAAACAGCACAAAGACAAACAACGCGATAAGAAAAAGAAGAACAATAATAGCAACAATAACAATAATGGAGAGAAAAAACGTCTGACAAAAGCCGAAAGAGAAGAACGCAAGCGCTTACGACACGAACAACAAAAACGTAGAGAAGAAAGACGTAATCGTCGTAAGAACAATATGGTGGCCTTTCCTGAGAGTAATCTAACCAATTCCTTACGTTTAAATGAAAACTCCACCGATGTTCAGGAATCGGAAAACCAAACTCAGCAGCAACGTAAGCAAAACAAACGTAAACGTAACGAATTGGAAAAACAAAAGCGTCAACAAAATAAACAAAAGAAACGTCAACGCAGAAGAAAAGAGCACAACTCCGTGGATGCTCAACAGCCCGAGAGAGAACTGCAAAAAGAACAGCCCTTGGTAGAAAAGCGTGCCAATAGTGCCAATAAAATCAATAGACGCAGTGGTGTACCACGTGTACCGGAAAGATGTTCTTTGCGGCTTTTGGAACGTTGTAGTTGGCCCCAATGTAATAATTCCTGTCCTACCCTAACAAATCCTGTGACCGGAGAAGAAATGAGATTTCTAGAATTATTGGCTTCTTTTGGTCTGGATATTGAAGCTGTGGCAGCAGCTTTGGGCGTGGACATGCAAACTCTTAACAATATGGATCGCACCGAACTGGTGAACATGTTAACGCAACAGGTCAGCTGATCAAAAGATTATACTCGAACTAGGAGTAGAGAATAGTAAAGCTCCTAAGGGAAAATCATTCCAGCAAAGCATTATGAAATTAAGACAAAGAAAGCTTTTAAAGAGAGAGAGAGAGGTAGAGAATGGAAATTTTTACTAAAAATTTATGTTACCAAACTCTTAAAACCCTTAAAGCTTTTTAACAGACTAACTAGCCTTGTGAGAATATTACCTAGTAATCTCTTAACAAATTTAAAAACAAAAACAAAAAGTTGTAAATATTGTGAATAACTGTCCTAAATTTTAAGTACTTAAAAGTTCAAATTAGTTTTATAAGTTATAGTGTAAGCTTTAACAATTAGAAAAAAGGAAAACAAAGTAAAGAGGCTTTAAGCTTAAGGAAGTTAAAATGAAAGCTTAGATTTTAAAAGAAAGAAAGCTTAATAGTTGACATTATCGGTTATACAATGTCACAGCTTTCATGCAAAAGTCAAAATTCGATTATTGTAATTAAAGCTTTTAGAATTTCAAAGCTTTTTAAGTCTCTTTACAATGAAAATTTCTAAAATTTCTTACTAAAACTGTGTTGTATAAATGTATATTTACTCTTTACTTTAAACAGGGGTATTTAATGATTCTATAACTATAAAAATAATAATAATTAAAAACAATTTACAATTATTATAAACCCTTTATTAAGCTTATAACACAAAATGCAACACACAAGACTGTTATTGTTACAATATTTTAAATTAAAAAAAAACACACACATACACAATTTTAACTAAATAATAATTATAATTATTTTGTTCAGTATAGAATTGAAAAAAAAAAATACTCTTAAGATATGGTTTCTTTGCAACAAATATTGGAAATTTGTGGAACCAAATTATATGGCAGGAAACCATATCTTTAAACCCATAAATACATCCATATACTGACATTAATTCATATACATACATACTTAAATATTTACATACAGTTTCAAAACCTACCTCATCTATTTAATAATAATAATAATTGTTGTTGATTTTGTTTTATTTTTAATAGTAATATATTATATTAAACAAACACTAATCCATCCTTTTTATTAGATTTAGTAAATATCTTAAAATACTTAGCAAAAAGCTTAATCTTTAGTTCACAGAGATTTATTTCATCTAACAATAACTAGTAAAAGCATACAAGCTATTGAAAAGCTACTACAAAGCTTTTAAATTTCATTATCACTAGCAAATAAAATATTTATATTGACAAACCACATCCTTCCATATTTATTTATTAAAAGCTATAAAAAGCCCTTAAAATAAAATCAAAAAAATTATTAATCAACAGTAACAAATATTTTGTACCTGTATTAATTACTTATTATTACTTATTTTACATTCAAATAATTTAACACAAATCCAATCCAATCAATTAACAAAACAATTACATTCCTTGTGTTTAATATATTATTAATTACTTAGATTTTTTTACATAATTTAATAATTTATTTATTATAATTTTAAGTTTTTATTTGTAATGTTTTAATAATAATAATAACATTTTTAAAAGAACGCAAGAAAAAAAGCTCTCGAATACTTTTTATATATTTTCTAATTTATGAAAAATTTTGATTCAAAATTTTGTTTTTTACTTATTGTACAGTTTTAGTTTTAACAAAAAATTTATTAATTTATACCTAATTGTTATTAAAATTCAAAAGACAAAGATGAAAAAGCAACAAAAAATTTTAAACATTAAAAATAATAAAAATCAAAGTACAATTTTTAAAAATAAATTAATTAACTTTTTTTATTTAATTAAATGGGTACAGAATAATTTTTTATTCATTCCGATCGAATTAAGATATTTTTCAAACTTGCAATCTTATTAGTTAAGTTCTAGTTCAGTCCAGTCCTAATTCAGATCTAGCTCAGATCTAGTTCAGTTCTAGTTCAGTTCTAGTTCAGTTCTAGTTCAGTTCTAGTTCAGTTCTAGTTCAGTTCTAGTTCAGTTCTAGTTCAGTTCTAGTTCAATTCTAGTTCAGTTCTACTTCAGTTCTAGTTCAGTTCTAGTTCTAGTTCAGTTCTATTTCAGTTCTAGTTCAGTTCTAGTCAGTTCTAGTTCAGTTCTAGTCAGTTCTAGTTCAGTTCTAGTTCAGTTCTAGTTCAGTTCTAGTTCAGTTCTAGTTCAGTTCTAGTTCAGTTCTAGTCAGTTCTAGTTCAGTTCTAGTTCAGTTCTAGTTCAGTTCTCGTTCAGTTCTAGTTCAGTTCTAGTTCAGTTCTAGTTCAGTTCTAGTTCGTTCTAGTTCAGTTCTAGTTCAGTTCTAGTTCAGTTCTAGTTCAGTTCTAGTTCAGTTCTAGTTCAGTTCTAGTTCAGTTCTAGTTCAGGTTATAGTTCGAGTTCTAGTTCAGTTCTAGTTCAGTTGCTAGTTCAGTTCTAGTTCAGTTCTAGTTCAGTTCTAGTTCAGTCTAGTTCAGTTTCTAGTTCAGTTCTAGTTCAGTTCTAGTTCAGTTCTAGTTCTAGTTCAGTTCTAGTTCCGGTTCTAGTTCAGTTCTAGTTCAGTTCTAGTTCAGTCTAGTTCTAGTTCAGTTCTAGTTCAGTTCTAGTTCAGTTCTAGTTCAGTTCTAGTTCTAGTTCAGTTCTAGTTCAGTTCTAGTTCAGTTCTAGTTCAGTTCTAGTTCAGTTCTAGTTCAGTTCTAGTTCTAGTTCAGTTCTAGTTCAGTTCTAGTTCAGTTTCTAGTTCAGTTCTAGTTCTAGTTCAGTTCTAGTTCAGTTCTAGTTCAGTTCTAGTTCAGTTCTAGTTCAGTTCTAGTTCAGTTCTAGTTCAGTTTTAGTTCAGTTTTAGTTCAGTTTTAGTTCAGTTCTAGTTCAGTTCTAGTTCAGTTCTAGTTCAGTTCTAGTTCAGTTCTAGTTCAGTTCTCAGTTCAGTTTAGTTCAGTTCTAGTTCAGTTCTAGTTCAGTTCTAGTTCAGTTCTAGTTCAGTTCTAGTTCAGTTCTAGTTCAGTTCTAGTTCAGTTCTAGTTCAGTTCTAGTTCAGTTCTAGTTCAGTTCTAGTTCAGTTCTAGTTCAGTTCCAGTTCAGTTCCATTTCAGCTCTAGCTCAGTTCTAGTCCAATTCTAGTTCAGTTCTAGTTCAGTTCTAGTTTATAGGTTAGTTAATTATTTGATCGGCAGTGAAAAGTAAAATTTGAAAAATTTTACATTTTTATTGCGAAAACGAACTGTTTTATTTAAAATAAAATACTAAAAATTTCAACTCTGTTATGAAAAACTATCACAAGAGCAATAAACTGACACAAAGATATCTACCTATGTAGTATATCCAAGTGATGCAATCTTCGTTGCTCTACTTTTCCGTAAGTACGTTATATTAATTCGTGATTCGCAATACAGGGTGTTGAAAACAAACAGAATATTCAGATAATAACTTGATATCAAATTTAAAATTACTATTAAATATTTTTGATAATAGTTTTTATCATTGGGCGTAAGCTCCCTGTATGTGCACAATCGTTTAAATTAAACTTAATAGAATGATCTTTTCTTCTCAGTTTATCACGAAGAGCAATTTGTCAACATTTATTAAAGTTTTTCCAAGAAATACACATGTGAAATAATATCTAAAATAAGAATTAATATAATTTTAAGATGTATCACTATTGTAAAATTATAATAATAATTTTAATTTCAATATCGAAATATAATTTTATACAAGGTATGTTATATAAATTAAAGAATTTTCATTAATTTTACCAATTTTTTTTTCTTGCAACAGCTTGTCCTATTTATCTAACAATCGGTTTGGATGGCAGCACTTATCAAGAATCAACTTTACATTTAAATTGGGCCTCCGATTGTTTCATACGCCCTGAGTGGTATGGCATCTATAATGAGGAACCTTCAACCACCCTTTTGCAACCGTTTATACGTCTTTATAATATAAGCAATGCCACTTTTCAAATGTCCATTAAGCAAAAAATTGGAAAATTAAAATTTCCCAAAGGTTGGAATCGTAACGATGCCGATGTACAGCCTCTGCATTATACGAAGAGTAAATGTTTGGATTATTATGTGGCTAGTTTTCAATCGAATGAACTTTTATCGGTGGAATGTTTGAAAATCTATCCGACTTGGATGACAAAACAGAATGATATTGTTAAAATGCAATTGAAAGAACTTTTTATACCAGGTTTTTAAAAATGTTTAATGTCTTGAGGGGAGTTTACATTGTTATAGTTTTTATGTTTACTTTTTTTATAGGAACCCATGCCTCCGGTGCCTATCTTACTAATTATGGTGCTACCAAGTCCTTATTTATACGTGAACATGCTGTTTCACAATATTTTGATGTCTGGTCTCAATTGGTATTTGGTATACGTTATTTGGATTTAAGTATTGGGTAAAGTTTAAATATTAAATTCAGATCAAACCCCCCAGGCTTTATAATTATCAAATTTCTTATACATTTGGTTCTTAGACCCCAACCATCAAAAATATGGGTTGGGAATAAGAACTATTAGTCGTGGCTAGACGAAAGTATATTCAAGGCCCTTATTAGATTTTAAGATTATTTTCTTATATCCCATAAATTTTTCGCATGTCTGATAGAATTATTTTAGATTTGGACCTCGAAAACACCTGGGATCTTCAAAAAATTGATTCTAACAGATATACAGATAGACATCGGTAAATTGTGGTAGCTATCTACAAGGTTTCGGTATAGATATTGTGGAAATTGCAGAGGGAATAACAAACTAAACTATATTTAACCATCTCATGAGGGCGAAAGCTACAAAAATTCTTAAAATTTGTCCATCCGAAAAAAATTTATCAACACATTAGTCTTGTATATCCGGACATACCGCTAAGCCTGCTGAAGGCACTATAGGGACTTAATAAGAGGAAGTAGAGGGACGAAACATTCCTCAAATGTGTCTGTGGAACAAAAGGCACAGATACCAATATCCTTCCGGAATATCGTGAGGAAAATAGTTTCAAATTTTATCCTAAAGTTATGGGCTTCATCGAAAATCGATTATGGTTAAACGTCCACTGTAGAACGAAGTCGCCATCAAATATTTATTTTCAATTAATACCTGTATAACTATTCAATGTATTTTGATTAAATTTCAGCTATAAACCAGTCGATTTATATGATCCACAAAATCCCGAAAATTTTTGGATAGTGAACGAAAATATGTTTATCAATCAGTTGCGTTTCGTTTTAAAAGATGTTCGTAAATTTGTAACAATATCTGGAGAAGTTGTTATATTGGATTTCAGCTCATTTCCCATAGGTAAATAATTTCACGAATTAGTATTACAATAAAATTTGACTTACAAAATCTAGTCCTACATAGATAATATTAATATAAAAACTATTTTTAAGGTTTCTACAAACATCCCGAAAGACATACAGGACTATTGCATTTGATTACTAATGAATTGGGCCATTTGGCATTTCAACGCACTGATAGAAGTGTGCACTGTTACGATTTAACCATCGAAGAAATAATAGCAACTAATGGAACCATAATAATATTATATCCATTAGAAGAATTACCACATCCGGAAAATGGTAAAAATACCATATAAACTATAACTATAAATCGATATAAAACTGTAATAATTTTAACCAATTTCCAGAATCTCCCATACTCTGCTCACCTTGGAAACGTTTCTCAACCGGTTTTATGAATAATTCACAGGCTCTGGACTATATGCGTCTATTGTTTAGCAAAAAGAAAACATCACCAGTTCGAGATGAAGGTTGGATATTTAATGCCATTAAATGTATGGAACAATCTTTGGTAAGTAATTTGTAATGTTTTACTAAAGATCTTAGCAGATTATGGATTTTCCGTTTCGCCTTTCCAGAACACCAACAAGTTACAAACTGCCAAAGAAAGAGCTTTACACATCAATACGAAAGTCTCAAATTGGCTTCGAGGACCTTGGGGTTCTACGGCAAACATTGTGACTTTGGACTATTTCAGCAGCACGAATATCATAGATGTTGCCATATATGCGAATATACAAAAAGCCTTTTTAAAATTAAATAAGGATTATGTGAAATTTGAAATAACTGAGAAATAAAGGAAATTTTAGACCTTGATCTGATGTACAATATTGTTGTTATTTTTGATCGAATTTTGGATTTAATGCGCATCGTTTTATGGTCTCTTTAATGAACAAAAACTTAAGAATCAGCAAAATCTAGAATATAGCAACTCTTAAAATGGCATAATTATAGTCTCACTATTAAATTGTAATTCAATGCATAATCTCTGTAACATTTTAAGTAATTTTATTTGTAAGTAATATATGCAAATTTAATATTACCTACAAATAACTTTAATTTATACTTAGAAATAAGTACCCTTTTAAAAACATTTGATCACTACCGCCTTTCATATTTTAATGAATTAATTTTCTA